TGAATTTTACGGAGACTTGCCACGGTCTCCAACCCTCCTCCTTTCTCCTCCGGGCTTGGGACCGGCCATGACGGAGTTAGGAAAATTTGCAAAGAGCAAATACATGTTTTATGAAGTACAAGTAATGTTATTTCATGCGGAAACATGCTTGCAAAAATATACTTCGCATCAATGCAGCTGCTTGTTAACTTATAACAAAAAAAACAAACATGCTAAGAGCAGCGTCTTCTGATGCGCAAACTTAATTTGTACACACAGTAAAACTATATCTTCACACCTTTTACCATCTCGTCTAATCATTAATCACTGAGCGTCAATTATTAACGACATTAAATACAAACGAAGTTCCTGGCAAGTTCAGCGGATAATATCTAGAGTGAAACATAAACACTAAACCGAGAGTACGCAACTACAGATTACTGGACAGACTTACCACTAAATAGTCTTTTATTCATTTAAGACATTTACTTTCAAAATAGCGATCATATAAATTTGATTTGAAGGTTACACGAAATCTGCGGTGGAGTAATTGACAAAGACACTAATTACGGATATGCATCTGAAAAAAGTTACAGGGTTTCCATTTGTATTTTTTAAATTCAGAAGTTAAACTTCGCACAAATATAGTCAGTATTTAATTAAACAATTTTTTATTTAAACAATTAATATCCAATTGCGCAGATGAATACTGCGGGCAGCACTAATCTGCTATGTCTGTCAAACTTCACTGACAGGAGAACAGTGGTCATATTGCCCCTGTTAAAGAAGGCCGTGTCAATGGTTTGCTTCGAATTTCCAAGTCCAAAGTATGTCACTGAATTTTTTTTGATGTTGCGAGCACGAAACATCAGATTGTGCACCATACCTGCTAGCCACATACCTGCTGCTGACACTGTCTATGAAAAGAAGCCACTTCTCAAGAATAGCATGGATATAGCAATAAGTACGCAACTAGTTGCCCTAGAAAGGAATGACGTCAAAATAGATCTAATCATGACACAACGAGGAAGATCCATTTTCCAAACGTTGCAAACTATTCTGCGGTTCTCCATCGCATGGCAGAGGAATCAGGCTCAAGATATATTCGCAGCTTAAATTTTGGCACATTACTAAGAATTGCCTTCAACAGAGAATTCGTCGCACCGCCGTTCAGTGCAACAGGCTGAGAAACGGATAGCAAACTGCTGAGTTGTGAGATGCAGGAGAAACACGGTGTTTGACAGGGTCGTATATACGATGTATAAGTCATTCTGTTCGATAAGTATTCTTTTTACACTTTCAGTTTGCACTGGACTATCTGATTCTTGATTAAAATCATAAAAGATCCATACGATAAAAATAATTAACTAATGCAATCTATCTATCGTGTATGCATGATTGATTGACATTTGACAGAAAGAATCCTTGTAGTTCGTTTGATCGAAAGCTTCGCAATGGCAAACTGTAGGTATAGTACATGAACTATATATGAGTACATGCAAATATGCAGTATGCGTAATGGAGCCTGAGAACCTTTGCATATAACTAGTATCCGAATTTTCATAAATCAATACAATCTGTGGTATACTTGAATCCGTAGACATTGCTCTGCCGGTTTATGCGGTGTTTGACGTTATCCCCTGCACTGTCCCCATGAGATTTATGGACTTTCTAAGAAAGGTATGACTCCATGGCTTTCTTGGCACTTCACCTAACTCGCATGACTTTGATGACTATGGCAATGTTTCGGTGATCGTTTTCGCCGTTTCAGAAACCACGTCTTCATATCTGCTTTCTTAATCACTTTAGATTCTCAAAGTCTACGAAGTGCCCAGAAAACCGAAGAAATTTAGGTAAGCTCTGTGTTGAACGTTTCTAGGATACTAATGCATGGAACTGTATCAAACTACCACAAGTTAAGGATATGAATTGAACCATTATAAATGCAACTACCGATCATTATTACCTTCGATATACGCATTCGAATTAAAAATAGCTGAAATACCCGGTATCGCAATTCTGATCTGGATTGCCTCTTTGTCCGTTATTTTATAACTGTCATTTCTAAAGGCTAATCAATATCTGAACAGCATAATTACCATATGTTTATGATTATTACCTAGAGCCGTTTGCATAATAATCGACTCTAGTTCGTGATGTCTGTTTCATTCAGATTCTTACAATGTTCGCTATAAAGCACCGGTTACTGCATAACAGAAGAAAACATTCCTCCTTCGGTAAGCACACCTGTCTCTATCCTGTTTCTCCAGGCTATATACCGGTCTCCTGGCCCATATCCGCCGCCCGTTGGCTTCCTCGTAAGAAACTTGCCGACTGGAGTAAATGGTTTAGGCTAAAGCAGTTCGTCTAAAAAATAGACCTTGTTAGTTTAATCTTCACGTCTGCTTAGGTCACCTGTACCTTGAAGAGAACGAAACTATTTCTTACGCTGCAATACCCAATTCAACAATCGTTCTTGCTGCGACTTCACAACATCTGTCACAATGTCGTACAACAAGACCGGTCTGACAGAGGAAAGGTAACGGTTTTGGTGGAAAGAACTACACATTTCTATGACCAAAAATTCGCAAGGTTACCATAAGCACAGAACGAGAGATCGATCCTTCTAAAATACTGATTTGATAGTCCCATCAATGGAGAAGATCAGCCAAGACATTTAAACAGGTTGATTTCCTCTCTCTGTTCCACTAGTAAATCAGCTGTGACTCGTCAGTTTCCCATAACTTTGAACTTTCGGGTGTTAGCGTAAACGGTTTTCGCAGCCTTGCAAATGGAATCTGTCAGGTTTCCGAGCCTGATCCTCGCAATACTCAACAGGACAATATCATCAGCATACTCTAGGTCAATAAGATTTGCAGTCAGATGTCTTGATCTGCACCATTCCTTCAGACTGAGGCCTTCCTCGTTTTCAAGGCCAGGAGAGGATAGTCGAGAACAACGTTGAGCAGCAAAAACGAAAGCACATTTTCCTCACTAGCTCTACAGTTATAACGGAAACCACTGAAATTGTTTTCTTTCAACTTTGAACATAGACACGGTTCCTCCGGAAATCTCTTCCAACATGGAGTCGATACGTTGAGATGTCCCATCGCATTTTAAGATTCTCCACATCGTTGGGGCGAGGTAGCAATTTAAATACGGTTGCAGTCGAGCAATCTAAATCAAAGTCTAACCTTAACCATTCCTTGAAGCATCAATCTATAACATGCATTTGCTAAAACAGCGGAAATTGCTATCGGCACAAAACTGCTTCATCACAAACTACGGAAAGTAAATCAGCAGCGCTTTGAAAAATCAGGAGTCGACATATAAAAGAAGCATTTCCATACTGGTATCGCAGCAACTGAATAAACCAAAATAAAATCCTTTAATTTTGTGTAGGCATCCGGCATTACCTCCAACAAGCCAACAGTAACTGTTTTTAACAGAACTCTGTACCCATCATGTTTAATCAGATCCAGGTTCATTTTCGACTTTTAACAAAAACATAAACTGCACATAGCGATTACCATATTTACAAATCAATTGGCAAATCAAATCAAAAGGGGAAAAGGCAGGCAAATCTGACCAGTGCATAGAAACTGCCACAAAGAAAATTATGAGAGAAACTGTATGAGACCATATTTTCCGGTCAGCATCCAATTTTTGTCGACGGCGGTGAGATGCATTGCTTCTTCTTCATCCATACCGCATATTAAGTCAGCCTTAAGCGTACGAAGGGACAAAAGCGACGAAGGTCGGAAGCCTAGCAAAGAATCTTCGAACGAAGTGGAGACGGGCCACTGTAAATCGCTAAGCAACTTTCGATAGTTCAGATCGCCTTTGAATACAACCAAATTCGACAATGCCAGTTCCTCGAACAACTCTGCAGCAACCTTCTTCATTTCGCAGTAAGGATATGGTAAAGTCCAAAAGTCGTGAGTGTGCAAAACGAACTGCTTAGAGTCCAACAGCTTTTTCCAGTGTTCCGCAACATTGGACAGAATCTCGTCAGAATGTGACCTATAAAGCATACACATTAAAAACAGGTGAAATTCCTCACAGGGCAGTAAAATTCAACGAAACAAAAAAATCATAAAAAAATATTTCAATTCTGAAAGGATCCGAATATGGAATCTAAGTCGCCTGAGCAACTCTAGATATTCATTACTCGTCCAACATTCAACTTTTGCACCTCCTCAAGGAGAACCAGCGAATAAAATACGGAATATGACTGGAAAACGATTCATTGTCCAGTAGATTGTACCAATTATTATTGCATTCGCATTGACAACGGAAAAACGGGCATCATCCGCCTGAGATTACATCACCAGTCTATATAGAAAAAAGAAACTTTATACAAGAGGATATAGCGCCTGAACGCGCGACTTTTCGACTGCGAGTCTGCTGCCGCACCGAATGAGTTTGCCTGCTTTAATGCTTAAACTCAAATAAAAGTCTTATTGAATTGCTAGTAAAACGACAAACGATTTTAACAACACATATCTATAAAGTTCAAAACACATCTTATTGAATTAAAACGTATTTTTTGCGTACCCCAAAGTTTTTAATGTATTAGTGAAGTCAGGCATGGTGACGTCGGACACGAAATACGGAAAACTCTTGGCATGGAAGTGAACTACTTTCGCCATATCGGACTCGATCAAGTAGTCAGCCAAACATAAATCCGTAACCAATTCCAAGCCACAGTTATCGAGGACGATGTCTACACGATTCAAAGGCTGTCCATCGGTCATTGCTCGCATCCACATCATGAAAGAGCTCAACTGATTTACGACCAGCATCTGCTGGCGCGATTTAAGCTGGGACAACAACAGACTGGACACCGACTTCTGACCCTCCGAGATCGACAGGTCGCATTCGTTGCCCCACAGCGAAAGCTAAACATTTCCTCGTTGACTCTCGAAACGTCAAATATCTGAGGTGTCACGGCATCTACATCCAACCTGAATGAGCGTTTCGACGACGGCCAGTTTCTCGTCATGGTTGACCATGTGCTCGTTCAGCACAAGTTTCTGTAACTCTGATAGAAAGTAGCTGCACAACGAGCGTATCGTTGAAAGGTTGTCGTTCAACGTCTGGCTTTTCTGGTAGGCGAATGGATCCCAGCAATTTGGATACAAACTAAAATACGGTATGTTCACATAAACCATAAATATGCACACAATACGATAATTGTTTTGCACCAAAATTGCCGTCGCGATGAATCAGTGTGTTGCAGGTGGCAGACTAAAGACATCTTTAAACAATCGATTTCCCGTTGACTGAGGAGCAGTGGCATAGTGGACAGTAGTTACTTTGCGTTTTACAAGTACATGATTCGAATCGTCGCATGGCGTACAAACTTATTAACTGAAAATTCCCCTGATCAAACAACGTATCCTCCGTGCATTGGTGCAAAAAGCCATGAAACGCATAGCGATTCGTTGACCTATGAACAGTTGAGACAACAGGATGGTCAACGCAGAACAAATAAGACATAGAGCAACGCTGTGACCGCAATTTATCTTATCCCACCCGATAGCTGACGAAAATCAGCACAAGGCATAAAGTGTATATTTAAAAGAAATTAGAATTTAATCATGCCACGGCGCAATATGACGAACTTCCATAGTTATCCTAATTAATCTATAACAGCGCGAGTTTGGAGCTAAACCTGAAATCACGCTTCGTTATGTAAATTTACATCGAAGATACGGTCGCTATAACACCGTCTGTGCAAAATTATTGTACACACAAACGTCGATGAAAAATTTACCTACTTTTCGTTGAAAGCCTCGAAAATTTTTCGGTAGAAATAACATTCAACAAACAACCATGCCACGTTGTACCATCTCGGTTGTTCATTTCTCAACTGAAGATCGTATGTCAGAGGTCAGTAATAAAGCAAATACTGAAGTCGTTCTCAAATGGACTTACTGACAGCCGCTGAAGTTGAAGAGCCTCGTTCCACTTCGCCACATCGCTCCTGCTGCCCTTTATTTCTGTCAGAGGCTTATCGGTTAGCAAACGTGAACGAAGGTCCGAAAGTAAGCCGATGACGTTCTTTACCACTTCCATTCCATTCTGACTTGAAAAAATAAAAAATAAAAAAGTAAAATTAGTCAAAATTAATCAATCACTCAGCTAGTCAGTCTGTCTGTGAAACTTGCATCAATCACAACCGATCCGTCGGTCTGCTGGACGAAATATTTATTCCGGTTCAACAAACAATTCGATAATAGATTAGCCAACTACCTCTCCCCTCTGTTTCGCTGCATGATCAAAAGATAGACAGGGTTCACAAGAAAACCATCTTGTTGTCACCAAAGACAAAAGCCCACACTTTAATGCACATGCAGAAATAGTAGTCATCAAAGTTACATGGTGCATTTTTTTGAAACGTTCAACTTCATTACAGACCCCTGAAGGAATCAGGGAACCTTTTCTAAGAACCAGTTCCATTTTAGCGTGGACCTAGGAAGATTTTGATCGGTTCCGCAATTTGTCAGCAGAGCAGATCAGCTGTCCGATAAGAAAGTCGAAAAAGTGGTGGTGGAACAGATCGCAGGGTCTGATGAAAAGCCTTGCAGACACAGTCACACCGGTCGTTTCCATGCCTTTCAATGGGTTCATTCAAAATGCAATCTGAAGTCTCATTTGACTATGTTACAGTGTCTGCATCTACGCGAGAATTAAAGCATACAGAAAATATGTGATCTTGCACATCGTTCGGACTCTGCAGAACGAGTACCCGAAAAGGCGAAATATGATCGAATCGATCTTTCACATAAACCCATACATTTACATATTCACTTTCATCAACTTCCATTCAACCAATCTGCCTCTTGTTTATCGTTTTTAGTTAATTGTCTCAATATTATGTATCATGTCTGTTTCTGTATGTTTGTTCATTATTTGCATATTGCTATACCAATGGGCGAGTGACTGCTGAAATGTTAACGGGTGCTAAGTTTACGAGCAGTTTCCGACAAGTTAAACAGTAAACTCTTTTGAATGATTGATTTAATTCAGTCAGATCCACTACCAGTAACAGATTTATTACTACGTAAAAATGAGGTAAATCATACAGATTTTTCGCTGATTAATGCGACTTCTTGCCTCTTTCTGTGGGTGACGTCGATAACCTTGGTGAGAATCTTCGGAAGCCTGTCTCTCAGCGTTATGTACGCGAAAGAACTAAACATAACGTCAGAAACCAAATAATTACAAATGTAATTTTCACGCCTACCCTTCAAACTTGCCAGAAAGAGGAGGTGGCTTCACGACCTTGCCACCCATCGTACTGTCAGGAAATCGTGAAACACCTAAACAGCAATGGCTAAAACAAGTACCATAAAAGACCTGAGAAAATGCGTAAAAACGAAAAATTTAATAGCGGCATTTTATATCGCGCACAAAGTTAAATCCAGTTTATTCGAGACCCCATGAAAAGTATGGATACCCGCATTCTGAGGGTACCAGTTCAACTGAGGACAAAAGACAACTACATAAGCAAGACCCAAAAACGATGGGAATTTTCAATGATTACAATAATGAAAAAAGACCAGATGCATATTCTGACGTCTGACACACGCGGTCGTGGAAGAGTGATCATCACCTAGAAACTAATTTAGGTTCGCAGCCGAGTGCAGAGTGGCCGGCATGCTTTTGAACGCACAAAAAACGAAAAGCCTAGTGCTTCTCGTTCTTCTGTCCGCTGCTCTCTTAAGATTAACAAAGTCTAGACAAAAGAACCAAACAGTCATTATTTAAGTGTTAACCATGTTGAACACCTACTTTCCCGCTGTCAAACAGACTACTTCTTCATTCATAATAACTATTAACGTATGGAAAAGGTAATCAAGCTAAGCTTATATCGGAATTTCAATTTATCGAAAGTAAGCTGTCTAAACAAAATATATTATTTTCGTCATAAGTACTTAGAAAAGGAAAGTACGGACAACGACTTCCAATGAACGGGAGTTCCAGTGCAAATTCATAGGCAATGCAAGGACGGAACGGTAAATGTTTATAATGATTTGCAAGTACAAAATAAATATTACCCTGATATTACTTAGATTAGAACTCACTATATCTATTCACTTCGTAATATCCGCCTATGTAGAAATCGTCACTTTGAACCGTCTGCGGTTCGTATTTGGAAATTTTTCTGTTTTGCAATATATTATGTAGTTACAGTATTTCAACATTTTTAACTTAGAGAAATGTCTTTGTGACTGGTTATGGTCTTTTAGAAAGAGCAATTTGTTTAGAAAAACACATTTACCTCGATCTCTTGAAGTATTTCGCATGCTGCGTATTTATGATTATTTGTCTGCATATGAATATTTATGAGCCTCTCCTGTATGAGTAGCCTACTTTTTCGGCAAAGATTGTACTCGATCACCCTGTCTAATTCGGACAGCGTCATTTTCTTATCCTTCACAACTACTGAGGTCGTCTGTGCTCAAATGAAGATGAAGTCATTGCTTAACAACGCCACGATATATACCTCATTATTCATCGAAATCAACATTCTTTTATGCAGTTTAACCTTCGATTTTGTTCCTACAGCTGTAACAGTTTTATCAATGGCCTGAAACAGCACTGACCTGATGGAGGAAAGATATACGTTCATTTTCGTGCAAAGCGTTACTGATCTTTCAGCCCAAGCATTCGACAAGTTACCAAAACCATTGCACTTAAGGGTAAAAATTTAACTTCTATTGGATCGCATTGCCGATATCATGACGTGTGCGCTAGTCACCGCATGTAAAAATCCGCCAATTCAACAGGAAACCCCTTGGCGTATTTTACGTTTGAAACTTGTCAGACCAATTTTTAAGTGACAGTGGCATATCTAAATTTACCTTTACACCTTGTGCTGATCTATAGTTAGCTGTCAGGCGAACTGTAGTGGTAAAAGACACGCATCAAACAGCATGGCGGTATGCATCGCATGGTAGTATGCCTCGCATGCCTAGGTATGACCACACTGAAGCGCATGCTGCCCCTATTATTGACAAGTGAACGGCCTGATACACATTTTTGGCTGGTTACGCCGAAGCAAAATCGGGTGACTTTCTTGCTCAAGAAAATTAGCTGTTAATAAAAAAAATTCGAGTCGCGCAATGTATTTGTACTCTCATTCTAGTATGCAGAACAGCATACTTAATTAAACCGCAACCACAATGCACTTATTGTCGCAGAGATGCAAGCACTTGATTGAATTGTTGGCAAGATGTGGTGACGTTCCCTCACTAAAGTTTCGGTGAATATCCAATCAACTAAATATTTTCCTGCCTTCTGCGTACCTTGGAAAAAGTGGGCCACATTAAACAACCTTAGTTGAGTCATACTAAATACCTTCATCTTCATCTTCCATCGCCGCTTCTCCTTTCGGGTCGCGGAGGCAGACGCGTCAGACAATGCTTCCAGCATTCCGGATCCTGTGCCAAAGTCTGAGCTTCGGCAAAAGACAAATGCAGTCTGGAACAGATTCCTTCCATATGTTTGCAATACTAAATACCAATGACTTTTAATAAATGGAAGATTGAAGAATCGCAATCAATTAAGTTAAGTCTGATGACGTGCATAATACTCACTTCGCAATGGTTCACTTCTGCCTCTACGCCCTCTGCGGGGATATAAATCCGATAAACATCGCGCCTTTGAATGTAGCAGTGCCTATCAGAGCATCAGTTTGAACTATTAGAGCAAAAGATCCAAGCCATGCAATTAGAAGAAAGACACATTTTGGCTATTACGATGTAATTTGCTGTACATCAGTGTTTCATACGCCCCATTCACGTAGAATATTATGATAAGCAAATAATAGAAATTCGCTACCTTAAGTAATATCCTGAGCACAGCTTGCCATACCGACATTACCACTTTAAGGCGGCGTCAAGCATAATGTACCTTGTACTGCTTGATTTTTTCATCTACCTTAGTATTTAACCAATCCTCGTAATGCCTATCCAGGCTCACGGGATGTTTCTCCACTTCCAACACTTATGTGATAGCATTATTACTTTATCATTAACACACTGTTTTGATTTTAGGTTAAATTGGAACACTCCTATATATAAGCAGCCGAATCTCTTTTAACTGTCTTTTAGCTAAGTTTTTGGAAGGACATTCGCCGACCGACGTTTCAAACCCTAGCGCTTTTTGGTTTTTTTGCCACGTTTAAGCGAGTTAACATATTTTCGATATTAATGCAGCAACGGCTTTTTTCGAGCACCGGAAATAAGCAATAACTCCGGTATCGTTTGCTTACCCTATCCAATAACTCTTATTTAGGATCACAGAAACGTGAAAAATATACCAGAATATTTTGAACACCACTGCATAAAGAAGGCACGATAGGCATACAGACAGCATCCACTTCTGTCGCACAATATGATGAGTTTGAAGGCAATCATGTCTGCAAGTGCTTCGGAACCGTAGAAAGTAAGAAAACCTGTTTTTAGTTAAAAACAAGTGTATTTCTATAATACCTTGTAGGAGTTATCTGCTCAACGGTAAAAAATTTATTCTACTGTAATCTACAGGTTGTGAGACGATTTTAAAAGAATACCAGCGTTCAAGTCAAATGCTTCTGTCAGAATTTATTTTTCTCGAGAATTAAAGTGAAGAGAGAGGCAAATGCACACGACAGAAAGCATCCGTCGTAAGGAATTGAAAAACAAACAAATTCACTTTAAAATGCGCATGAAAAAATAAAAATTTTTATGAGTTGCAAAATGATAGGTCGTCACTATTGAAAACAAACTTAAACTGATATTTTCTAGTATTTCTCGGATACCTTAACGTTTGCGCAGTTCTAAAACTGAACAATACGAAAAAAATATAAATCAAAAAACGTCAGCTGCCAGGAACCATTGGATGCAAAGTAAAAACGTAAAAAAACTAAAATAATAAAGATCACAACGACATGACCACTAGACGCCGGCGTACGACTGTCGTCCATCAAGGGCGATCATCAAACTGTTAAAAGTCGTTCAAGGAGCGTTCAGCTGAACCGTCGACGCTATCTCGCAAAACGGACAGTGTCGACGGAGAAACGCGACTGCGGGGCACGAACAGCTCGGTTTGGCTGTTGTGCTTGATGAGGGGGCTGTAGCTCAACGACTGCCTTCTAACGTCTGACGACAGTCTGATCACTTTGGAAGGCATGTTTCGAAAATGTGGCACCGACTGCAACCATCGGACTGCGAATATTGCCAAAGAGACCAACAGCGCACCGACGATAAAAGGCGGACCTGCCACACCCGATTTCTAATGAGCACAATCAAAAATGACTTTCATTACATTTTGCACTGCTGTTTTTCGCCTTACCTCACTAAGACTCGCAGTGGCCACGGAAGAAGAACCGTTCCAAACAGGTGTAAACAACTGATCGCGAACGGCATTGCCATGCCGAGAAGTGTACGTGAATATCGGCGAAGGGCTCCTTTCCGTCGAACTGAGATCGACGTTAAAGACGTAAAATATGAGTCCGAACAGAGCCGGTCCCAAACCTTGGCAAAGCCCTCGAATCCCGGCCAACATGCCTTGGGCAGCGCCTAAAAAAACTGTTAAATTCCTTGATAATACATATGGCTACATGGCTAATGGCTGACGAGGAGCCGTTAACCGTTCAACTTCTAAATCATCTCATTTAGACTAGATCGTAAAATAGCTTCATAAGATGATATTTTTTCTCCATATCTGTTGCCTCATTTTATTTTATGCAAGTGGGTTTAAATACTTCTTTCACGTTCTAGAAACCAAGGACAGTGAATATCCTTTGAGGTAGTATTTAACCTGCTGCAGAAAATCATATTCCTGCTGTAGACACATTACAGACACCGAAAAACTTTAAAAAGCAGGGAACTTAAGTCAGGGTATTCTGCTAAACTGACACTACAGCGTAAAGACCAGAACCGAATCCTACAGTGGCATCTTAACATAAAAATGGAAACAGGTGTTTAAACTGAGGAAATCTTTTCATGTCCTTAAAACACTTTTACTTAGCATGACATTCTTGCTTCAAATCGCAGTAAAAGGATCAGAGCTAGAACATCATTTAAAGAATAACAGCGGTTAATATCTACACCCACTAGAACATGTTACAACATTTCACGATCACAACTCATTTTTGTCGCTACGGTATCAAATATGGTTCATGTTATCAAAAACGCGAAGAAACCTAAATTCGTTATTTACGCTTGTTTGGAGCCCCTTTTGATTTACAAGGTGCTGCATAGCCACAAATGTCACTTGCGCTACTTAAGCCTATTTTGGAACCTTAGCGGGAGATAATTTTGCGTTTCTGCGATGATTATTAGGGCAATCGCGACGTCTAGAGGATTGCTATACAGTTCCATGGCTAAAACTAGTCTCCCACGCTAAACGGCTACTGCAAGATATCATGACGCGTTTTAAACAGATTTAACAGCCAGACACTCTCGGAGACACGCTAAATGAAAAAACTCCTTCATCGGAAAAATAAAAAATGAGCTGTAGAGAAAATCAGTGACAGAGCATTTAATAACTGTAACGTAATGAATCCTCCTGGCTTAAAGCGTCGTCTTTTATTTTCTACAGGTATTACGTAACTGTCTTACTTATACACGCTGTATACGTGCTAGTGCTGAAAGCAGAAGGAAGCACCTCCATATATGACATCAATAAATACTCAAGTACTGAACACTAACACAAAGCCCAATGCCATTTATGATGTAAACGTAACTAACAACATGCTTGATCCAACATGAACAGAATACATAAACAGTTGCAATATTCCCAAACCTACCTTGCTTGTCTCCGTCACAGTGTAACGAAAGGAATGAACTTACAGAAGGGTAAGTGATTTGAGACAAAGCCGCAAAAAATCCCGCGACCCATATCATCCTAAATATGCAAAAAATTATACATATGTGAATATATGCAGTGTTTGAATTCATAAACTTTCACAAGGTTGAATTCTCATATCCTTCAAATTTTACCACAATTACAGCCAAGAGTACGCATAATATAATTTTATAATTCTGCATAGCACGTATTATAAATATATTACTACTCATAATGAATGATTTCTCCAAGACCAGATTTCACGACATGTTACGTTCTTAGTT